TGTTCTCCCCCTCTCTTGTGGAGATCTTTTCGATGTAATCTTCTTTTTGCTGTGTGTTTGTTGAGACCGATGAATTGTGGGTTTATGATCTAGTCTATCTATGAATAATATTTGAATCTTCTCTGAATTCTTTTATGTATGATTGGTTATCTTTGCAAGTCTCTTCGAATTATCAGTTTGGTTTGGCCTACTAGATTGGTTTTTCTTGCCATGGGAGAAGTGCTTAGCTTTGGGTTCGATCTTGCGGTGTCCTTTCCCAGTGACAGAAGGGGCAGCAAGGCACGTATTGTATCGTTGCCATCGAGGATAACACGATGGGTTTTTACCATATTGCATGAAACTATCCCTCTACATCATGTCATCTTGCTTAAGGTGTTACTCTGTTTTTAACTTAATACTCTAGATGCATGCTGGATAGCGGTCAATGAGTGGAGTAATAGTAGTAGATGCAGAATCGTCTCGGTCTACTTGTCTCAGACGTGATGCCTATATACATGATCATACCTAGATATTCTCATAACTATGCTCAATTCTGTCAATTGCTCAACAGTAGTAATTTGTTCACCCACCGTAGAATACTTATGCTCTTGAGAGAAGCCACTAGTGAAACCTATGGCCCCCGGGTCCCTTTCTCATTATATCAATCTCCATCACTTTATTATTGCTTTTCTTTTACTTTGCTTTTACTTTTTACTTTGCATCTCTATACCAAAAAAGCAAAAATATTATTTATCATCTCTATCAGATCTCACTTTCGTAAGTGACCGTGAAGGGATTGACAACCCCTAAGCGTGTTGGTTGCGTTGAGCTATTGTTTTTGTGTAGGTACGAGGGACTCGAGCATAGCCTCCTACTGGATTGATACCTTGGTTCTCAAAAACTGAGGGAAATACTTACGCTACTCTGCTGCATCATCCCTTCCTCTTCGGGGAAATCCAATGCAGTGCTCAAGAGGTAGCAAGAAGAATTTTTGGCGCCGTTGCCGGGGAGTCTGCGCAAAAGTCAACATACCAAGTACCCATCACAATCCCTATCTCCCGCATTACATTATTTTCCATTTGCCTCTCGTTTTCCTCTCCCCCACTTCACCCTTACCATTTTATTCGCCCTCTCTCTCTCTATCCTCCCTCTCTTTCTCCGTTTGCCTTTTTGTTTGCTCCTGTGTTAGTTTGCTAGCTTGTCGTTATGTCAAGTCCTTTACCTTCTGCCTCTATGTCTGAAATTGGGGAAATTATTGTCGATATGGACAATAATAATATCATGATAAATTCTGATGCTCCTTCTAAAGAACCTACCATCTTTCATACAAAAAAATTCCGTGTTGGTAGTGGTAATATTATTGGAAAAGGAGTTATTCAAGATTTCTTTACTTGTGCCGGTGCTTTACCTTCTATGGGTAGTTCTATCCTTCACAGAACTAGTAGTCTTGAGAACGCTATTGCCATGCTTGTAGTTGCACTTGAAAGACAATTCATGCACATGCATCCTTCCATACAAAGGATTTTTCTGGAATTTTCTAATATTGAGCATTCTTCTTTTAAGCGTGCCGCTACTATCTTTTTGGCTCATGAGTTTAGATTCATAATAAAAGAAGCCAAAGAAATCTTTGCGCATTATAGGGTGGACGCTTGCCGTCCTCCCATAGAGGCTATCCTCTTTGATCAAGAAGAAATAATGCGTTTTCAATCTCTAGACTATGTTGCTTTCAATGAAAATCTTAGAAAAAGGGTTCCTACCAATGTTTTAGTTGATAGAATTTCTGAACTTAATGATGATTTGTCTATTCGAAATAATGAACTAGGATATTCTCTTGAATATAGTCTCACAAAGTTCTGTCAAAACAATGCTTATAATGATGAATTGGTTGTGCATTATGAAGGACCAAAGGAGGAACCTATACCTCCCAAGGTTGATCTTGGGGACTTTTGTCCCGTTAAATTTAGCCCTTTTGATTACTTTTGCTTGCCTCAAAGAAAACTTGCTGCCGAACGTAGAGAATAGGAGAGCGCGCCAGGGAGGGAGTCCTACTCCCACCGGGAGTAGGACTCCTCCTTTTTCCTTGTTGGAGTAGGAGAAGGAAGGAAGGGAGAAAGGAGGAGAAGGAAAAGGGGGGCGCCCCCCCCCCCCTCCTTGTCCAATTCGGACTAGAGGGGGAGGGGGCGCGCGGCTGCCCTGGCCGCCCCTCCTCTTCTCCCACTAAGGCCCATGAGGCCTAAATAACTCCCCGGGGGGTTCCGGTAACCCCCCCTACTCCGGTTTTTATCTAAAACCACTCGGAACACTTCGGTGTCCGAATATACTCGTCCAATATATCGATATTTACATCTCGACCATTTAGAGACTCCTCGTCATGTCCGTGATCATATCCGGGACTCCGAACTACCTTCGGTACATCAAAACACAAAAACTCATAATACCGATCATCACTGAACTTTAAGCGTGCGGACCCTACGGGTTCGAGAACTATGTAGACATGACTGAGACACGTCTCTGGTCAATAACCAATAGCGGAACCTAGATGTTCGTATTGGCTCCTACATATTCTACGAAGATCTTTATCAGTCAAACCGCATAACAACATACGTTGTTCCCTTTGTCATCGGTATGTTACTTGCCCGAGATTCGATCGTCGGTATCTCAATACCTAGTTCAATCTCGTTACCGGCAAGTCTCTTTACTCGTTTCCGTAATGCATCATCCCGCAACTAACTCATTAGTTGCATTGCTTGCAAGGCTTATAGTGATGTGCATTACCGAGAGGGCCCAGAGACACCTCTCCGACAATAGGAGTGACAAATCCTAATCGATCTATGCCAACTCAACAAGTACCATCGGAGACACCTGTAGAGCACCTTTATAATCACCCAGTTACGTTGTGACGTTTGGTATCACACAAAGTGTTCCTCCGGTACTCGGGGGTTGCATAATCTCATAGTCAGAGGAACATGTATAAGTCATGAAGAAAGCAGTAGCAACAAACTAAACGATCATCGTGCTAAGCTAACGGAATGGTTCAAGTCAATCACATCATTCTCTAATGATGTGACCCTGTTAATCAAATGACAACTCATGTCTATGGCTAGGAAACTTTACCATCTTTAATTCAACGAGCTAGTCAAGTAGAGGCATACTAGTGACACTCTGTTTGTCTATGTATTCACACATGTACTAAGTTTCCGGTTAATACAATTCTAGCATGAATAATAAACATTTATCATGATATAAGGAAATAAATAATAACTTTATTATTGCCTCTATTACAATGTTCGAATCTAGTCATAATAAAATCACATGTATAGTGATAACAGTCATCGAAAATCGCCGTCGCCACACCCGGCTAACTGTCGTCCGTCCTGCATGGTCTCAATCACCTTTAGATTGTCTGAGTTGATGATTAGGCAGTTACATCCCACCCTTTGCACTAATGTTAGGCCAAATTTGAGAGCTAAGGCTTCTGCCATCGAAGCATCCGCGCAGTAGTCGATCTTTTCATTTCCTCCTACAATAAACATATCTTTGTCGTCTCTCAAGACCGCCCCCATCGTACCCTTCAGCATGTCATGGTCAAAGGAGACGTCAACATTTAGTTTCACGAAGCCCCTAGAAGGACAGTGCCAACCCCCCCTTTTTCATAGACGCCTTTGAAGATGACGCATTTACAAAATTATATGTGAGAGATATGATCCCGATTGATATCTGAGTCGCATTCTGAGTTAATTCCTTGTGTATTAATTTCCGTATTTCCGACCATAGATACCAAGCTGAGATAGGTATCATTTCTCGTACATTTTGGTACCCCATTTCTCGTACATTTGCTAGATTTTCTCCAGCACGATCAATCTCACAAGCTTTATCAATAATCACATCCATCCCTAGCCTTTTTCAAATATCCTTTGATTTTATACATAGGAAAAGCATGTGCTTTGTATCTTCTACACCCTAAGAGCAGGAAGGACAAAGAGGCGAGACCTTCATGTGTCTATTAGTCAGTGTTGCCCGACATGGAAGAGTGCCATGTAGTGTCCGCCATAAAAAGATTTTGACTTTTGCCGGACAAGATAACTTCCATATCTGACACCATATAGGATTAGGTGTGGTTCGCCCCATCCCGTTGGAATGTTTTAATTTACTTCCGTACTGATAATTCCACTCCACATGGTAAGCAGACCGTACCGAAAACATACCATTTTTCATATAACTCCAGGCAATAAAATCTGTCATATTATGTTGCGAAATTGGGATTGAAAGAAACCGTTGTGCGTCAATGGACCACATAGTTTGTCTAATCAGGTCCTCATCCCAATTATTGGAGGCCGGGTCAATCAAATCAACCACTTTTAATAACAAATGTCCCCCCTTAGGGGTCATAATCTTTCTAGTGGCATAATTTGGCATCCAAACATCTTCCCAGATATTGATGTTATGTCCATCCCCCACTCGCCAAATATAGCCACGCTTGAGAGTAGTAATGCCTGCCATAATGCTTTGCCAGGTGAAGGAAGCACCATGTTTTGGCTTGGAGTTCAGCAAATCACCATCAGGGTAATACTTGGCCCTTAGAATAGTAGCACACAATGAGTCGGGATTATCAAGGAGACGCCATGCCTGTTTGGCCAGCAGAGCCAGGTCAACACATGATCTGCACTTAATTTAATCATCCATGCTTAGTGGTTTTTAAAAGGGACCTAACAAAAAATGAAGGAGTGCTGAGCAAAATCGTTGATGCTTATGTTAGTTTGAGTGCTCCACTAATTCACTACACCATCATCATCAATTCATCATCATTACCTTCCAAAACGATAAGAAAAACAATGGAATCACGTGGGGCTAACGCAGGAACGTTCGGCGAAGCTAGAAGCACGTGACGCCCTTCCGCGCTCTCTGTATATAAACCGGGAGACCGAAACCAGCCCCTCCACAAAATCCACTGACAAACGCTCGGCGAATCCCAAGAGCGAACTCAGATCATCCTACGACCAGACGCGACCACACAGGATAAGATGCTGCTGCTTAATCCGGCGTCCGAGGCGGCGGCGCTGGACAGCATCCGGCAGCAGCTCCTGGAGGAGCCGGCGCGGCCGGCGTACTGCCGGAGCGCGAGCTTCGGCAGCCTGGTGGCGGACCAGTGGAGCGAGTCGCTCCCGTTCCGTCCCAACGACGCCGACGACATGGTCGTCTACGGCGCCCTCCGCGACGCCTTCTCCTGCGGCTGGCTCCCCGACGGCTCCTTCGCGGCCGTCAAGCCCGAGCCCCTGCCCTCCCCCGACGGCTCCTACGACGGCTCCTGCCTCGGCAGCTTCCTCGCGCCGCCGGCGCCCGGGCCGGACGCGCCGTGGGCGGAGGAGGAGGCCGAGGTCGCGGCGGCGGCGTCGAGGGGGAAGCACTTCAGAGGCGTGAGGCAGCGGCCGTGGGGCAAGTTCGCGGCGGAGATCCGGGACCCGGCCAAGAACGGCGCGCGCGTGTGGCTCGGCACCTTCGACAGCGCCGAGGACGCCGCCGTGGCCTACGACCGCGCCGCCTACCGCATGCGCGGCTCCCGCGCGCTCCTCAACTTCCCGCTCCGCATCGGCTCCGAGATCGCCGCCGCCGCCGCAGCCGCGGGCCAGAAGCGTCCGTCTCCCCAGCCGGCGAGCCCCGACTCTTCATCTCCCTCCTGCAGCGCGCCCGGGTCGTCGAAGAGGAGAAAGAGAGGCGAGGCCGCGGCAGCGTCCATGGCCATGGCTCTGGTGCCGCCCCCGCCGGCGCAGGCTCCGGTCCAGCTGACCCTCCCAGCCCAGCCGTGGCTGGCCGCCGGCGCCGTCCAGCAGCTGGTGAGCTGAAGCGGCGAAGCGACCAGTGATCGTTCTCACTTCTCACGAGCGATTAGTTGCTTGATGTGTTGAGCGACGTGAGGAACAGAGCATCAAGATGAGATGAATGGCGCGTAATGCGTCGCTCGAAGAAACCTTCGATCAGTTGGAGGCGATTACGCGCCACGCCATTGTGAAATTTGTGTGGTTATAAGTCTGAAACTTGTCGCTAGGGTTAGTGGCGTTGGCACAGTAAAAAGTGTGAGCAGTGGAATCCGGAAGCTGGTTCGTGACAGGTGGTGAGGGTGCAGGTGCAAAATTTGCACAGACGTTCTCTTCTCCAACGGAGAATCTTCTTTGTTCAGCCGTTGTTTGGTAATACTAATAGTACTACTATCAGTGAGTGATTCCTTTCAAATTTGCAGGTTTCCCATTGATATGATATATAGTTTAATAATACAAGGTGGGCGTGCATCACGGTTGTTTAGTGAGGAATAATACACTACTTGGAAGAAGGAAGAAATGTCTGCGTTGTGACCGGGAAGGAGCACATGTGTCTGAATCTCTACTTTTAATGAAGGAGTCCGTACGTCGTTCGTTCGTTCGCACGTAACCCTCGCATCGATCGACCTCCCCCACCGATTTTCCTCCAAATAAAACGTTTGACTCCACCGCCTCTTCCGAATGGAAAAAAGGAAGGAAATCACCTATGTTTTTGGTTTCCTTTCACGGTCTCCATCCTATCCAGACCCGCCCTCACCCCCGAACCTCTCCAAACCACCTCCACCCTGATCTCCACAACCCCCTGATCCTCTCCTAAACCACTCCGGCGAGCCCTCCCATGGCCACCTCGACGCCGTGAGATTCGGGGGCGGCGGAATCGAGAGGTTATCATGGAGTGCAGGTCGTTGTGTGACTGTATGGTGACGCCCGGCTGAAGCATCGAGATGGAGGACACGGCCGCCGCTGTGATGTGCTTTACTGGTGTGCCCGTGCGCCTGCTCACTAGGCGCCGCGACGGGTTGGGTCTCACCGCTGCCATGGTCCTCCTCCAGTGCTCCTCTTCATCCTGTTCAGCAGCCATGGAGGCGCCGATGTACGCCAGGTCTAGAAACCATTGGACTGTGTTCTGGCGGTCTATGCCTTTTGTGTCATTGTGCAGGATTTGAACTACTACCGCGGTAGGCTGCACGTCATGCTAAGCAATCGTCCTGAGCAAGCAGTTGAGGCTACACCAGCTAAGGGTCCGGTGGAAGCCGATTCATCTCTGTTGATCTGAGAAAGAATAATGGGAAGGTAAGTCTGTAAGCATTGAAATTTTCTATACTTTCTATGACGATGCAATCTACCTTCTACATGTAAATAGAATATCGCATATCGGTAATAATATCTTTGTAGTGCAATTTTGCATAATGTGGAAGCTTGTACTAATTGGCTGCTTACCGTGACACCAACATATGTGCTTTCTCCGCTTTGCATTTCTGTTATTGTGATGAATTCTAATTTAACAGGACACGCATGTCCGCATAGGATACAACTAGCTGCATGGCATGAGATTATTCAACGCGTTGAGTAATCTGGAATGGTAACATTTTTGGTTAAATGGGATGCTCTTGAGATTATTTCTCATGCCAACATGGCATGCCCGAGTGAAAAATGTGCCACCGTTGGACAGGGTCGTGCCTTCTTAGAGGAGGTTTCTGGTTGGATAAATGAGAAGGCATGATGCCTGTTTGGGCTTAGATGACTCCTAACATTGCAGGTATTATAGAGGGACCTTGATCTACATCTATTGAGTAATTAGCAGTCACATGTCTTCTGTGTTTTTACTTGTTATGGTGTCAACTGATGAAGTTCTAACAATTTTTTTATCATTGACTACTTTTCAAAAACTTAGTTTTCTCACTGTATTGATCTCAGTAGTTTGGTTCTCTGGTCATACATTACATTGTTCTACATATCTTCCCTGGATTATTTGGCTTGGGCATCAACTGGGACAGGGTGGGACATCATGGTGGGATTAGGCATGTAAATTCTGGTTTTAGTTTTACTTTCATGTTTGGCAAGACAGACAACAACTGTGAGTGACTGATTTGTATCTTGAAATGCATCCTATGATGAATCATCATGAAGTGTCGATGTATATTGAACTTTCTAAAATGATGGGACTTCAACCCTCAAACTCATAATCCACCCTCCCTACCCCTCCCTGAATTACCGTCCCCTCCAGCCAAACAACACCACCATTTCTAATTTGATATTATGTTCGCTGTATTAAACATGAGTCATGTTCATATTGCACTGTCAAGATCAGATATGTAGTGTACAATTGATGATAATCTTTTTAAAGTCTTGACGTTGCTAGCCCACACCGACGAACTCTGCTATTCGGACTTTGATCCCTAGGCGCCGGACGCATACCCACACCCACGGACAGACCGTCAGTGAGTGCCTCACATTAGATGCTGATCCACTCCACCTCCGGTTATCATAGACCAACCTATCCGAGGTATACCATATTACCACTCTAAAATTCAACCACTTTCTTAGTCACAAATTGAACAACTTTTGTTATGAAAAATTAATTGGACCAATGATGAAGTGATTGGATTTTAACCTATGACATCGTGGTAGATTTTCAAAGATGAAGACTTCTTAGATTTTATTGAAATATTTTATGGGAATTTTTGCAGGATTTTTAGCAGAGATCTATTTTCATAGATTTATTTGTAGTGAGTCAAAGATGAAGACTAGCGAATTAGAAAGTTTATTTGTGGCGAGTACATATTTTGGAGCGGTTAATTAGAAAGTTTAGCACAAAGGACTCTGTGTTATGTGTCTCTGGAATTTACTTTACATTTTGGAAGTAATGAATTAAGGACCGAACTATTTTTTTTGGTGTGTCTGTCTGAAAGATTACCTGTGTTGTTATTTATCATAATCGATTTCCTCATTAGAATCTTCATGGGTTTGAGTCTCCTCATTCTCACTGTCTACAGAGCCATCTAGAACAACCTGTACCCTCGCTGCATAAGTAGCTTCAGGAAAAAAAACATGGTTATGCAACAAAAGCAATGCAAATTAGCATATTCAGTTAGCACGAACATCTGTAGGGATAACAAGCGATAGTTCAGCTCTGACGGCTAGGGCCACAATAACTACACTAAGCCCCTAGGCATGTCCATGATAAAGTAGATTCCATATAACAGAGTCTAACACTAACTATTACCATTAACAAATAACATGTATCAAGGATTTTCAGTTCAAGATATGGATTTTAAAAAACAAATCAATAATCTTTTGCTGAAATGTTGGTACTTACAGTAACAAACTAACCAACAGTACACCCCAAATTCAGCAGAGAACTTAAATTTCAGTTTTCGCTCAAAAGACAACTAGCGATTGCCGTAAATTTTGAAGTAAATGCAAGCATAATCCATGTGATGTGCATATGCAATACACAAGACAAACTACATTTGCACACTGACAAGGTACAAATAATCTCAGGAGCTGCCAAGGATCTTTTATATTCTTACCTGAGCAATGGAGCAGCCCTCTCTCTGTACAAACTGTTCTCTCGATTAAAACAATTGGTTGAACGTTTGCATAGTTGTTGATGGGGACAAACATCATTGTTGTGTATATTGCTCCAATGACCATTCTAAGAGTATTGGCATCCACCCCTGCATCAAGGCACAAAAAATTCAGATGCTGGTACATTGTAATCAAGGAGTAAAAGATAAAGATAAGTACGGTAATTACATAATGGTGCCAATCTTCCAAAGGATGGAGCCAAGCAGCAAGGCTGTGAACAAAGTGAAGGAAAATCTGACAAGGTTGTAATTTGGGTTGTGCCAATAGGTCAACCAATGCTTCCAGAGGTAGGATTTGAATTGCCCTATAATGGATTGCGAGTACTCTAGATCGAGGCGGCTCCCCGAATCTAATTACAAAGAAGAAACCCATCAATTAAAGTCATCTACAAACTGAAAATTACTGTATGATAGTGCAAGCAGATCTCAGTTTCAAAATGGAAAATACACTTCTCAGTTTTACAAACCGGAAATTATGACAGTACAAACTGAAAATACACCAACGCTGACCGTGCCTCCCCCAACCTTGTATAGGCATATACGACGGTCCATTTTCAGCAGTCATATGACTTTGCGTGTTGTACATAAAAATCTGTACAAACTGCGCCAGAATAAAAGTTTCTAAAGAAGGAACTCCAAAGATTTCTGCAGTTTCAGATTTCTACAGTTTTATCATCTCTGAAGATAAGTTGCAGCAAGCAAGCAAATAGGGAGGAGGGTGATACCTTCCGTGCTTGGCATAGCGTCTGTGGCACTATGGTGGGAGGGGAGCAACGGTGGAAGAAGCAGAGCCGGACGAGCGGTGGTCTTTCGTCCAACCAACCAATAGAGTAGAGGGAGGGTGTCGTGGATTTGTCACAGCAGATGTCCTAGCGAAAGGACTTAGTCGTGGAGCCATCGCTACGAGTTTACTTGAAGGGGTTAAAGCGGACACAAGGACACGAGGATTTTATACTAGTTCGGCCCCTTCGATGAAGGTAAAAGCCTACGTCTAGTTGTGATGGAATTGATATGATCTCGTTGGCTAGGGAGCAAACAAGCTTCGCCTAGGCTCGAGTTGTGGTTGTCCGTCCTGAACCGCCACCGGGTCGTCCCCTTATATACACGGGTGACGCCCGTCGGTCCATAGAGTCCTAACCGGTTCATACTCGTATTCCGGTTGCTGTCTCTCTATTCCTTACTTACAATACAAGTCATACATCAGGCCGGTTTACGGCTATATGTTCTAACCGACTACAGGCCTTGGGCCTTCATCTGTTTACGCCACTAATGAAGTTAACCCGGCCCAAGTAGGCCGGTTTACACCTAGTGGTAATATCCCCAACATTAGGCCCCAGATTGATTTGAACTGGTTCATGTCAATCCTTCACACCACGTTGTGTCTTGGATATCTTCTGTTAATTGGCAAATCTCCATGTCGTCATTATTTTTAGTTGC